AAGACAAAATATCCATTTTCAGGCAATTTCAGTCAGGCAGTTATTAAGAACAGCTAAGGCAATGTCTAGATAATCTTTTATGTAAAACTCAGTGACACCCTTAGGTGCTCCAGAAACACCAAAATATCCTTAAAATAAAATTTAAGCAATTTACAAATTCTGTTAGGAAATGTAAAACACATTTATTTGATAATATTTTATAATCTTGCTACTTGCAAAGTCAAATGAATTTGCTTCACTAAATTCCAACTTTGCAGACCATCAAGGGAGAGAAGATGTTTTGGGGTTTTTTTTCCCCGCTATCAGCTGCTTCCAGCACTTTGGAAATGGGGCTGTATTCTGCCCTATTTTCTACTGTTAAAGTAAAAGTCCTATTACATTTTACAGGAACAAAAGCAGGTGATACAGAAAATAATGCTTCCTTTTAAATGTTCTTCGTGACTGGTTTGGCATGGGCAGTGAGGTAGCACCCGATCTGGTCTTGATTTTGACTATTTCTGCCTGCTGTTAACAATCCTTTCTTGTTCAAAAAGACTTAAATTATATGCCAAGTCTGGTACAAAAGGGATGTCATTAGAAGTGACAAGACAATTACAATAGAGAAATGTTCAAAATCACTACAAGGCTTTTTGATTTAAAAGCTGAATGGAGATACTGATGCTGTGGGAAACACAAAATCCAGAGACCATCTGCTTATGATTGGTTCTAAAGGAATACGTTTGCTCAAGGTGAGTAACAGGGAAGATAGCACTCAAGTGACACTTCAAACCTCTCTGCCAAGATCTAAGTTGTGACACATCAGTGACTCTATGTTCCTCCCTCTCAATCATGGTAACTGAAAACATAGTTTCCTCTTTTTGACTTAATGGAAATAAATGCCATTTGAATTCTGAGGACTAGTAATCCACATAATTGGTATTCACACTAGATTTCAGAGGAAAAATATAGCCCATATAATAAGCTGAAGATATCCTTCTGCTGAACTTGAAGATCAAAACAACATCTGAAAATCAGTGTGCTCTGGTTACTTTCTTATATCCTTCTGCCACAAAGGGAACCAAAGTCCTGCACAATCACTGTCCAGGCTCTGGTAGCTGAACTAAGTAGCACGTCACTGTTACTGAACTACAAAGACTTCAATAAAATTGGAGAAGATTTTATTTATATTTTAGTATTACTTAATAGTTTTTTTTTTCTTTGGTGACAGAAAAAAAGATACTTTGTTTGCTTGTTTGTTTTCAGGCAACAGTATAAAGATGTTCTCATAGATTTTTGCTGTTGAAGGTGCCAGGGTTTTGTTGTTTGTTTGTTTTCCTCATTTTATAGCATTTATTGAATGTCTGCTGTCTGATGAAGACTGATCTATTCTAGAGGTAGGACAAGCCTTAAGAAATTAATGAATACTTATCACTCAAACTGGTCATGCCATTCCACATGCCAGCAATATTACAACTGGGATGAGAAAGTGGAATAAATACATCAGTTTTTCTTCCTTGTGCCACAGGCCATTTAACATAAACTATGTATCTATCAATATTGATACCTATCCTGTCATTTTTGAGCCTGTAACTACACAGTAAGAAGAGCTATAGCCCAGAAATACCTTCTTGTGCAAAAAGTTGTGATGAATTTGCATTATGAATGAACATGGAAAACTCGTGTTTGCATATATACCCATATATTTTCCATGTTATATATGTTATAGATGTGTAAAATTACATTAAAATATATAAAAAATGATCTTAACATAATAATCTTCATATTAATCAAGGTTGCAATGCAGTTAGTATGGATTGCCCCTCTACATCACTGCCTTCCTTGAGCAAACCCACGGAAGGCAGAGATTTGAGTCCCTGCAGCAGTTTTCAGGTTTTTGCATTTATACTAACCTAAAGCAAAGGGTTAATGAGGCTTCCAGAAACCATGCCACCTGCATAGTTAAACATAATAAACACAAGAAGTTGCTATCTTAGAGGAATTGCCTTTGTGAAAGCTTTTAACCTCTTAATTACACTCTTGAAAAGACTCCTGCTATTTCAAAGGTTTTAAGAAATAATTCCTATTGTAAGTTAGAAACCAATGCAAGAACCACCTTGTGAGCAGAAAATTCCTAGACTGTATGAAACAAGAAATTGAATCTGTGCACACCTTTATCTGACAGGCACAATCCAGTTTAAGCAAACAAAAGAATAATAGTTTTCTTTTCCTCAAAGAGATCTCTCTCTTGCCGGTGATCATCTTTCAGGTGATAGCAGCTTTTCTGTACAAACCCCTATCACTCCATCTTGGGTCTGCTTCACAGCTGTCTAAAGGTTTCTACTGACCACTTCTATTCTCCCTCTGCTTTAATGCTGTCACAAAATATTGGTCCTTTACACAGATTGCACGAAGTATGTTTAGTTTCCTTCTTCAACTTGTTCACCCAAGGAAAAAATATTTGTCACAAAGTCTGAGTGAGATTGTCATTTTGTTTAGAAACTGTGCTGAAAATTCAACGGTCTCTTTCAAGTGCAACAAAGGAACTCTTGTTTGCTTGGCTTATCGTGTTTTGGTCCAGAATGTGTATAGAGTGATGTGATCTCAGCAAGATTTTTTTTGTTTGTTTAGCAGAAAGAAAATCTAATATACTAGACCAGCATTTTCTCATGACTTTTTCAAAGATCAAAGGAAAGAACTGTAACCTCAAAAGTATATGGCTGAGATATTTCAGTCTGTGTCTGGTCAATAAAGAAGAAAGGCACTCACCAAATAACAATTATAAGATAATTAATTCTTAAAGCTGTTTCACCTTTAGAAACCTTAACAAATGCTTTGTATATTAAGGAAGTAAATGTTGTCCAAGATGGACCTAAGAACCTGGGAGCTAATACAGTATAATGTGTGTCTGCACAGTAGTACAGGATACACAGATGATGTAATATTGCTGGAAATCAATTCATTCAATTAATTCTGTTCTTCAGATTTTGGGTGAATTGAATGCATACAAAAGATATTAACCTTCTGGTGGAACTTAGCTGTACACAAAAAAAGAAGACAGCATGTTCAACACAGTATATCTCTCAACCTATAAATCTTAAGTCTAACCAGGCTGGATGGCTTGGTACAGATGTTCACTCTGTCCTTCTCACTGTTAGACTTTTACCAGTGATGCTGGTGATCAGCACCCACTGCAGCAACTTTTTTTGGTGACAGTTACTTGAACTTCCATATTGACTTCCACATTTGGATCTTGGAAATTTTTTAGGAAAATAATTTTATTTCAAAGTACTTACATGAAAATAAAAGGGGGTCAACTGAAGCACAGAGAATAGAAAGTAGGTATTTCACTCTGTCCAAAGGACCTGCTTGCCTATCTTCAATGATCTAGATATTTTATGCTGCATGTCCAAAATTCAGAAGATAATTTAGAAAATTTAGGAACATACTGTATTTACTGCACCCTGAGTTGAGACTGCAAGAGTGACCTAGCAGTTGCAGAATGTGAACTGCAGGTGCAGTAGAAGGAACTCATGATACTCCATTGACTGAACAAGAACAGAGCAGATGAATTTTGGCATAGAAAGGTGTCAAATGAGGCACCTAGGAAAAAGGCAATTCAAACTTTACACGACAAATTCTTGCTAGAAAGAGGTCCTGCAGTTTCAATGAGTATGGAAATAACAGCTCAGTGTTCAGTAAAAAAAAAAAAAGTAAAACAAAGTTTGGGGGGTCAGTAGGAAAGCAAACAAAAAACCATCTATATTTCCCCTCTATAAATCCATGGTGTGCAAATGCTATAAACATGTCATTTAGGTTTGATCCCTCCTTGACTCATCTCAAATCAAATATATGAGAACTGAGAAAAAGTTCACTAAGAATGACAAGGATGAGCAGGGGAAGGGAATAGCTCCCACGAGAAACAATCCTAACAACCCACACCTGAAAAACATGGCTGGTGGAGATACAGCAAAGGTCTATAAAATCTGGCGTACATCAACAAGGAACTGTTGTATCCACTTTCTCCTAATGCTGCACTTAGGAGACATCAAATGTGGTGGGAAATAATAAAGTAAATAGCAGATGGTACTTCACCATGCTACAAAGGGCTAGTTGATCAGCAGATATGCTGCCACAGAAAATCAGGGGTGTTAAATTGACAAAAAACAATTGTATAAAATCAGAGAAGAAAATGCTTTAAGAGCTATTAAATTCAAAGAAACCACAATAGGATCAGTGAGCCCCTGTGTGCAAAACTCTGGCAGCTGGGACATTTTACCAAAGGATTATTATTATATTCTTTGCCTGGCCTTCTCGTTTTCCTCTGGCATCTGCTGTTAAAGAGTGGATACTGGGCTAGGTTAGCTTTTAGCAGAACCTGGTACAATCATCCTTGTGTTACGGGGCAGAAGCACATCAAAATAATTTCATTCATACCACAAAGAAGCCAATCCTTACTCCTGGTCTAGCAGTTCTGGCAGGAGTTCTGTTGAAACTGAAGCTCATGGACTAAGTCAGCATGGCACAGTCAAGAACTATGACTACAGAGACCGGCCTGAAGCACAGAATATAATTAATCATCCTCTAGTACACTTTGTTTCATGAGTTAATAGTGTTCTCCATGCTACTTAAAAGGAAAAAAATTACACCAAATGAAAAAAAACCCCAAGGGAGTACTTTGAGATTCTTCCTTTCTTTTCCCCTGTAAGAATCTTAACAAGAAACCATGGGGAAGACCAGTGCTCAAGGGACAATATTCTTCTTGATAAACAGAAAGCATTGCAGGGCAAGGAGTGTCTTCTCATTGAACCAGTTCACAACACTGCGAAGAAGCTGCTGGAATGAAATTCTTCACTTTTGATGTTTAATTGAGAGTATAATTCTCTTGAAAAGTAGCTCAAAGAGAGTTAAAAGAAAAAGTTGGTTCAGCACATTGTTAAGTAACGTTAACAGGCAATTAATAGGTAATCACATATTATTGTTGTCCATGCAAGGTTACAGGTTGATTTATCAAGCATACTCACAGAGACTGCAGGCTGCGCAAGTTCTGGAGGGCTTCAGTAGGAACCTGCCGTAGCTGGTTATTCTGCAGCATCCTGCATTGTGAGGAGCACAAAAACTAGATTCAGCACAATAAAGATAATTCTCTTTTATGGCAGATTTTCTTAGAAGCTTACCTACCTCCTTTCTACAGGTTCTACTTCAAGATTACAAAGAAAGGAAAGCTACACAAATACTCCACTCCCCTGCCCCTGTCAAATGCCAGGTCTCTTTAAAGCAAAAAAATACCTGTAGAACAATAGTTTTGATAACAGCTACACATCAGCTTTCAGGAAGATTTTCAAAGCAGCTGAGGAAGTTAACAGAATAAATCCGATTTGCTTTCGATAGGGCATGAGCTCCTAATTGCCTCCAATGATTCTCAAACTGTCATCCTCATGTACTGATTTCATTTTCTTTCTGAAGTACTTCAGTTTCTTTATCCTGATAAAGCTGTGAAGGATTTACTCTTCAGATCCTTACTCAGGAAAAGGCTACTGTGGCAAACAAAACTTTTAACTGTATGAGGAGTTTATGATTGGCTTTGAATAATCTCTGTAAAAACTGCTGAATTTTTCCCAATTAAACTTTCTCAAGTGGAATGTTGTTAGCAATGACCTGACAAATCTCTTTTCTGAAATATCACATCATTTAGTTTGCAAAGATTGAAAAAGTAATTCTTAATTCCAAAATAATCTTTTCCTCCCTTGGAATATGGTTTCATTCACACAGCCTAATATGCTTGTTTGGACCAACTTCTGTATACATAAAAGGATTCTATGTGGGTAAAACTGAAGTAGTACATGCTGCCTTCAAAAAGAGGCATACTCAATGGGACACTGTAAATGAAATCATTTTTGGCAGGCCTACATCTCCTTAGGCTAACAAGATCTACAGCTGGCCCATTTAAGAGTAGATGGAGTGAGAAGCTCTTCATACTTCTTTCCCACTTACGCATTTTTTCAGTAGAGCTTTGTATACTCTTACAGTAGCATCTGGCTTGGCCTGATGCTGCCTAGGAGGTTGGCATTCTTGCTAGTAGTAAAGTTTCTATGAACTTCACATAGGCAAAGATCTCCACTAGTGTAAGTATTTTGAGATGTAGCCTGCTAATAATTTTAGCAACTATATGTACTGTGTTATTATTGACAATAATACAGGGTTTTGTCATATTTATCTTATAGTAATTTCAATGTTAAGAACAAAATATGAAACAGGAACTGCATTTTAAATTACATGGTGTTCCCCCTGGCTCTCAAGAAAAGGAAAAGGCAATTTATCCCCAGTTTTGTGAGATCATGAAAAGTCCACTTGATTTTTAAACTTGAAATCAGAACTTTTGAGACAATTAAAGAAACTATGAACCAAACCAATTTTTACCTTTGAGTACAGAGGTATCTACTTGATGAGCAAGTTGGTTTTAGAATGCCACTAATGTTTTCCAACCTTTGTGTTTAGGATATTTTCTATATGAAAAAACCAAAGTTTTAATGATATTCATATGTATCTTCAACTCAACTGAACTGTTCAAAATGAGCTGATCAAAATATGTAATTTACTTGATCAAAACTTCACTGGTTAATTAGTTCCCTGGAGCATTTAGGAAATCAGAAATATATCAAACAACGCACAGTTTACTTACAGCACTTTAAGACTGAAAAGGCCAGCAAATGCTCCCTTAGGAATGTATGTCAAGCCATTTCCTGCAAGACGTCTGCAAAGTTTGAAAAAGGAAAAGAAAAAGAGTGAACAATTTTTCTCTTCATGTGGAATTAATTTGGTTGTTAAGAAGTGCAACACAGCTACGTTTGAGCAACTGATGCCAGAGGCAGTAGTTTAAGAGCCTTGTTTTGTCATTAATACACTTTTAAAAGGAAAAAAAAAAAAACGGGGGAAAAAAAAAAGAGGGGAAAAGGCTTTAACTGTACAGTTGATTTACCGACAGCTGGACCACAGAGAAAAAACATAATTTCACTGCAAATGGTCTAGAATGCACATCAAATTCTTCTTTTTAAGGATTAGAACAATCTCAGTAACTAAAACACAGACATACTGACAACAGCTAGTATCACTGGATTTACAGGCATGCACTTTTGGAATTGTGAATGTATGATGTCTCTGTACATCAAACTCATTTGCACTAATACTAGAATATAACCACACAGTGATGACCACAGTTCATATTAAAATAATGACACATAAACCTGCTATTCTGATTGATTCATAGTTTACTCTGTGAGCAGACTGTCATGCATCATGTAAGGTTTATGCCTAGGAAAGAGTTTATGTATTATGTGAAATAATGGCATTTCTGTGTTCCCCATCAGTGTAATTCAAGAACATCTTGCATTTACCCTCCTGACATCTCAGCTCAGCATGAATGTGCTATAATACCTGCACCCTAGCTGCAAAACTGACTGGTAGGGATCAGATTCCCAGTCAAGTTCCTCTGAGTCAGTAGAGCCATGGTGCCCTCTCTTTCCTGGCAACAGATGCAGGCTGATATGATGCAACCCTCTTCTATTTGCAGACCAAGCTAAGCCAAGTGGAACTGCTATTTCCAATCAGCTAAGACATTGCACACCAAAACTGCAGACACCTAGCAAAACCAGCTGATGGGATAACAGAGTTGACATTTGATTTGGCCTCAGGCCCCTCAGGAGAGACCAGAGGACTAGATCCAGAAAATGCCTTAGGTACCAAGCTGCCAGACTGGAACCTACAGCACTGAAGTAGGCACCAGAGTTGCCAATCCTGCTCACAGAAAAGGCCAAGTGCTTATGACTGCAGTCCCACAGATCCAGCACTGACTAGCCCTTACACCTTGTCTTCCTTTGGAGTTTAGTTGCCCCAAACTAACCGTAGGGTCCTGTGCACACCTCCTCTTTCAACATCTTCGTCATACAGAAAATAAAATATGGGCCATAAAGAAAGAAAACATTCTAGATCCCAACTCCAATGACTCTTCAGGCATTTTCAGTTTGTGGAAAGGGCTCTTTCCTGTACAAACACACCTGCTGAGCCACGTAATCTTTAACTCCAAGCAAGTGGCTCTTCCTCTCTCTATTAAATTGTGCTCTTAATTGTGCTCTGCAGAGGCACTCAGTTTCAGACAGAGCTGCTGAGCTTGTCTCTCACTGGGCTCTGATGTTCAGACATCTGAGAATTGGGCACATGCACCTGAATTCCTGCAGGCTGATGAGTGAACCAAACCTGGCTCACTCTTACTCCCAGGTGAGGCACACTAAGGCTGAGTCAATTTTTTATTTTTTATTTTTCAGTTGTGTGAAGGGCTTCTCCAGCTTCAGCTTTCATTTTAAATGAAAATAGCAATTGCTTTTGAGTTGTTGCTGGATCAAGCAGGTGTGAGTTGGGTTAGACACACCAGACTGGGTCCCTCAAAGTAAATGCCATTTGTGGATCACAGGCTACCAGAGGCTCAGGACCTGCTGATCTCAGTTTATGATATGCTTTTTGGAAAGACTAAAGACCCCACAGCACACTTTTTCTCTGTTATTTTACTGATGTGACTGGACATGACTCTGGACATGAGCCTGGCACGAACCAAAAAGTGAGAAGCCTGCAAAACTTTACTGCAAAAAAACAGTAGGAGCAGGTATTCAGGTTTTCACCTACAGCTGTAAGTTACCGCTTTGAGTGTCATACAGAATAAACTTGATAAAGAGCAGAGAACTGAACTCATTTGGTCTGTCAGGCCACCACCCCTTCCTAAGAATTACTGTGTCCTGGCAATTTTCACAATGGTCGCAATGGAAACTGCCAAACGTGCTACGTGCTACACACCACCTGTTTGAACTCTTCATAAAATGGGCTAGCTGAGAAAAGCAGACCTGTTTAAGAGCTCTTGGAGAAGAACTCTGGCAACTACCAAGCATGCTCCTCCCTGTTGCAAATGCAGGACTGTGGCAATTTAACTGGGACACTACACAGCTTACAAGTTTTTTTTCAGTGTGTAATACTCACTTTTCCCAGCTTCAGAGCATCATCATGGCTTACTGTGGTAAGCCTTAATGTTTGGCATTGGGCTCTATTTGAACTTGTCTCGGATGGCTGAAACTTCTCCATGTAACTTTCTTCCCTGTTTCCTTTGCTGGTCTAGTTTTCTGTCAAACCGTCTTCAAGGGAAAATTTGCCATAATAAACTCTTGTCATTCTGACTGTAAGGTCCATTTGGATGATCTGACCACCCATAACATACCACTCTAAGCACCTGACCCCTCCGCATGGCCCCAGATCCAGCACCTTTTAGAGGAATATCCAAAACTGACAGACAGATGTAAGTGAGGCTTACTAAGCCATGCTCCTGAGCTGTTCAGTGACCTGCACTGTTAAACTGAGATGTAATTATTATTATTCTTTTTAATATTCTGCTTCTTTTCCTTTTAGATCACAACTTCTCAATTACTAAATATGTCTTGTACAAACACTTCAGACACATGAAACCACACATTAAAAGCACACCCATCATGTATAGCCCTACGTATTTCAGTAGAGGCTACATCAAATGTATCACAAATGCCAGCATGTCTGTCCATGTAGTTCTCTCACAAATCAAAATGACAGTATCAGAAAAGGCAGACATCTGGCAACAACTATTTTCTATGTATTGATGTCTGATCTTTTGTTACGCTATTAAGTCCTTTCTCATTAGACCCTCTTAATGATTTTCTGTGGAACCAACTTCAGGTAAACCACCTATCTATTCCCAAGATGCTCCATGAGACCACTTCTGAAGACTTGGCACAACAGTAGCATCATCCCAGCCCTTTGGAATTACCCAGCATTGCGGTATTTGGTCAAAATCCACAAAATATTATTAATTTTGATTGTTGTCTAATTCTTTCAATGTTATTGGATAAAATTTAGCACACCAGTCTTTTAAGGCATACTGAAAAGCTCATTAAGTTTGGCTTATCTGTTTCTGACCATTTTTAAAGCCTTCCTTGTGGGTTTTTCCTGTTATTACTGTGTTTCTCTTCTCAGTTTTGGCATCGGGGAAAATTAATCCCCTTGTTGACACTACAGTACCTATCAAGTATCTATCAGGGTTTACTCCTTTCCACATTGGGGATTTTATTTTCCATTACCCTAAATCATTTGAGGGAAGCCCAGCACTCTACTGAACTTCGGGTGGATTCTGGGTAGTGATTTCAGTCTGGATGGATAAATACAGATTTTCCAAAACAGACGAGGACATATTATGTGTCTCTATAGTTCGGCACTTTGTTAATGGTTTCTGAGAGCAGGACTTAACTACCTGGCTTATAGCATCTATTGAACCAAATGGCTGGCTTCTATTGTTTGAACAACTTCTAATTTCAGTTTTTAGAAGTAATTTCTATTATTTCCAGCATTTCTGACATTATTTTACAAATGTCTCTGGGAGTACATTCAGGCTCAAATGTATCACATCTCTTTAAGAAAAAAAATCAATCACAGCTACATAACATTACTGATTTTGGGTCATATCTTTTTAGCTATATTATTTTAGAACTAGATTTTACTTGTGCTGCTTCATATAATTTTGCAAATTAATGGAGGCTGGAAAAGTTTATGAGAAAGTGTTACCACATGTTTCTCTTACTACCTGCTTCTTGCCACTGTTGGAGTCAAAATAGCAGGATACTTTTGGCTTAAGCATAGGCTAAATTTTTATAACACTGCGTGCTTATTTCAAAAAGCTCTAAAATTAATGATCTGAAAGAAAAGTGTGTTATCTCCTTCAGCAATTTCTAAAATATCTTTCAGTGCAGCTCAGCCCACCTGGCAATCTCTGATCATTGTCGGAATAGCTGCAGGTCAGGTTCATGGCCTATGGTTGGATCTAAGAAAAGGTGTGTCTGGGCTCTCCTTTGAATGTTCCCCATCTGTTCACCCTTTTGATGTATTCTGACTTCTCCTGCAGTGTCATAGTTCTGAGAAATGGTGATCACCAAGTCAGGAGAATATTCCCAAAGACAACACAACAATTGAGAAACCCACAAAACTCTTTGTTGCTCATGTCTGAAAAGAAAAGCTTCCTTTCTTGTAAAGAAGCAAATAAAGTTGTGACTGTGCACAGTCAACTATTTCTTTAAGCTTCTAGTAGAATATTTTTTCTTCACCAACTCAAACCTGCTTTATGTGTGGATGTTTTGTGCATCAGGACAAGCCCTGCCTGGTAACAAGGGTTTCCTCATTACCTGCTGGGATGGAAGTTGAACTTGAAACACTAAGAAGTTTTCTCTCTACATCTAACAAGCTGGCATTTAAAAAAGAAAGCATGTCTCTACTAGCTGTGGAAAGAAAAACTGTGGCAAATCTAACCCAGCTTCTTCTCACTGTCTGGAGCAGACAGTAACAGTATGATAGGGGTAGTGGCTGCTTTCCTTCTTTGTTCGAGTAAGACCTAGTCCAGCAAATGCTGAACAAGCACCTGCAAAGTGTATGTCAAAATCTAGTAGTATTAAACCTATAGAAAGGACATGAAGGAAGATACAGTCTCCTTGGGAAAAAGCATACGTTCACATTAATTAATATTCACACCATGTTCTAACAGGATTAATGCAATGGAATTTTCTGGAACAAGTTACTGATCAGATCTTGCAAGGTGCTGAAATGCAGGAGAATAAACAGTATTTTGGATCTTGGTTGTGGCTCAACATGCGACAGGAATATGCAGTGTAAAAGGAGTCAAGGTCCACTATTAAGAAG